GCACCACTCAGCCAGCCAACCGAGCGGAGGCCTCCCTGGCCTCGTCCCTCATTCACTTGGTCAGTCAGGTCAGAGGGACCTGGGAGGTGAGTCCCCACTGGGCCTGGGCAGGGACGGGGCCCAGAGCCACCCAGGGCCGGTGGGCCTCCCGGACACCCAGGGAGGGTGGCACAGGGGGAGGCGGGTCACTCAGGACGGGGACAGATGTTGGCGGGGACTCAGCGGGCCGGAGAGAGTGGTGCGGGGCCTCCCTGCCTCCGCCCGCTGACCTGATACAGCAGCGTGTCCAACATGCTGATGCTGAAGACACGGCCGGCGGCGAACGGCAGGCGGAACATGAAGGCCAGGTTGGAGCCGTTCTCCCGCTCCCTCTGTGGGAAAGGGCGGCTCAGCGGGGCCGGGGCCCTCGGCCCAGGGGCACACGTATGTGCAGGCATGTGCGGGAGGTATGCACCGTGCCTGGTGTGTGGCATGCACTCGTGTGCATGAGTACATGCACCAGCAGCTGAGCAAGCCCTGAGCACCGGCTCCGTGTCCCCACTGGTCACACTGGGGCCCCAGCTCAGGAGCAAAGAGATGGGGGGCTGTAGGGAGAAGGGGGGCCCAGGACACGAGACCCGGGGCAGTCACCCAGGGCCCCACCGGGTCATGCTCTCTGTGACCACCCTGCAATTCTTAGTGATCTCAGCGACTCTGTCCTGAGGGGCCTGGGGGCAGGGCACTGTTGGATGCGGAGCGGAGGCCTCCAAGGGGGCCCCCTGCCCGGCTTCCGTTCACCCCGTTCACCCCGTTCACCCCGTGACAGTGACGAAGTGGCGGGCCCCAGGCGGCCGGGTCGAGGCTTCCGCTGTCCAACCAGGTTCAGGCGGATGGCGCTCTAGGGCGGTCCCTCTGCCCGCTGTTGACGAGCAGCCCGGCCTGGGCGGGCGGTAGTGCTGGGGTCACCCTTGTGTGGCACGGGGTCAGCGAGGGCAGGCTGGGGAGTTGGGTCGGCAGGGAACCTGCTCCCGACTCCAGACGGTGGCTGTCTGGGGCCTCCTCTGTGGCGACTCTGCCGGCTCCCTGGTCTCACCCAGGGCAACCTGAGAGCCGCCCTCACCTTAGCATCAGCCCTGACCCTGGCTGGAGGGTGATGCTGCCACTGTCCTGAGCAGGGGCCTGGGAGGGGCTGGGGTCAGTGAATGCACCAGATGACACCCGCAGAGCTGGGGCCCCTGCCCCTGGCCAGTCCCCGTGCCCGTGTCCGCTCCCTGCCCCTGGCTAGCCCCTGTCCCCTGGTTGGTCCCCATGCCCATGGCTGTTCCATGTCCCCTGGCTGCTCCCTGTCCCCTGGCCGGTCCCCATGCTCCTGGCTGGCCCCTGTCCCCTGGCTGGTCCCCGTGCCCCTGGCCCCTCCCTGCCCCTGGCTGGTCCCCATGCCCCTGGCCGGTCCCCGTGCCCCTGGCTCCACACCCACTGGGCTGATGCCCTCCCAGAGCCCGGAGGAGCAGAGGGCTGCCCCGCTTGCACTGCTGTGCTGTGACCTAAGGCGAGTCCCTCTCTGGTCTGGCCCCTGGTCTGCGTGGAGATGGCCACGCGCACTTGCTGGAGGCTGACAGATGGACATGTCTCAGGTTCGAGCCGTGTCTAGGCCGAGGAAATGAGGCTCAGTGTCACCTGTGTTGGGGTCACTAACAGGACGGGGGGGTGATGTCTGCTCCCAGCCATGGTCCCCAAGACTCGGAGCGACACAATCAGAGCCTCACAGGGGCCCAGTCAGAGGAGGGCAGGTGCCGGGCCCAGGCTCTGCGCCTGGTGGCT